ACCTGCATGTGATTGTCGCATCCATGCCCCCTTCCAGATCCCCTTTATTATCGGTAAGCCTCTGATAGGTCAAAGTAATACAGTCGTACCTCCAGTAAGCGACCACCAAAAATGCAAAGACTTAGTGGTCCCTAACGGGAGGTGGTCGTTTAGAAGAATCGGACCACATGGGGTCTATTCCGAGAAGAGGTCCAGGCACATTCTATTAAATGGCGGTGTAACAAATTCCTGGCAAAATATTATCTTTTACCTCTTTTGACAAATACAGCTTTTAAATCATGCTCAATTTAAAGAGGGATTCAGGTGAGTGAGATATAGAATAGTCTAGAATCACAACATAATCTTCACTTTGTTGGCTACATCTACTAAGTTAGGATATGTGTAGTTCCACGATGTCGCTAAAGGTCTTCATATTTTCTAAGGAACATAGTGCACACAGCAAAAATAGAGAGCAGAGAATGCGTCAACTGGTCGCTTATGGAAAACAATTAACCGTGACGCCCAAAAAGTGGTCGCAGTCACTTACAGAAGGTGGTCGTTTACTGGAAGTTCCAACTGTAAGGCTTTGACTGGGAAAATTTGGTCTTTTGGATTGGCAGTCGCACATGGAGGTTGGACTGTGTAAGCCACCATCACCTCACTGTGAGTGACGAGAGCCAGGAAAGTATAGTATACACTCCCTTAGGATACACAGAATCGTTGTTTTGAGGTCCCGTTTAGCGAAATGGATCATTCAAGGGAGGTGTTGAAGTCCCATAGTGAAATTTATAAGGTTTATGGGTTTTTAGTGCAAGACGAAACACAATACTTAGGGCCCTGTTGTTCAAACGTTTAACAACAGGAAATCACTATCAAGCGAATAAGAAGAAGCAGGGTGAAAGCGTTAGTCCCGGGGGCGTTAGTCAACTTTTCGAACATACAGCCCCTCAGTCACTCTCCTCCGCAGACTTACCCTGGGCGACCAGGATAGGGGAATATAATACTCGACCTTCCTTGCATCATCGCGAGAGCCTATAGCCTTCACTTTCTTTTGGCTCGTCCTACAATCCTACCCAACGTTCGTGGGACAGGAAGGTCTGCTTGCGAGGCTTGGGAATCTAGGGAGACTATGGTAGCATGGTGCAAATAGCCGGGATGAGCTACTTTGTCCACACGAACCAAGAGGATTGGGTCTGCTAGAAGAAATCAGGTGTAGCTTTCTGTGATAAGTAATATTCCAACAGTATAGGATCATAGTTTGAAGCCATTTCACAATCACTAGTTTCCGCGCACCTCTACCGGCGAGTTGTGGACAAAAGCAGCTGATAGCTGTATGCGAACCTTTTTTCCACAAAATGGTTTCTGGGTTTTCGCATTCGACAGTGTCATGTATTGATTTTTTTTAATCTTAGTCGAGGTCTTTTTAATTATGTACTGTCTATCTGACTGACTGTTTCTTTGTGTTTTTTTTTTCTGGTAATAACAGGTTTCATAATTTGGTCGTGGTTGGGGTTATAGGCTCCTGATCGTGAGCAAATAGCGAAAAAATCAACAAGCAAAACCAAAAGTAAACTGTAGCGTTGAATCCGTTGGCCACGGAGAATTGGTATTATTCTGCAAGTTCTTTACTACAGCAAGAGAGTATACTCCCTTGACTATGGGACATTGGGCCGGGGGAACTTAGTATTTTGACCCGGCATAGGGGAGGAGGGGAGGGGGAGGGGGTACTCTGGCCAGATTCCAAGTCACGGGGATGATCGAAGTATGTTTTTTTCTTAGTTTGAAAATATTTTGAAAAATTTTTTTTTTTTAGCTGTGGCTTTACTTAAGTATTCAAAATATTCGTTCTTTTTTGGTCTTAATTTTCGCTTCCACGGATCACTCACGACACTTGGAATCCGAGGTACCCCTCCTGTTTAGTACTTCGAAGGCAAAAAAGCTGTTTCAAAGCCTAGTAGGTAAATAAAAGAAAAATAAATATGCATGGCTGTTTCTACTGCGATGAGAGGATTTCTTGTCAAAAAATGTGAAAACTGTATTAAAATTGCTGACAACAGCTACGAAAATTTCGTGACAGCATGATGACGTGACTAAAGCGTGTGACCAATTTCCGGTCACACCAAAGGTCATACGATCTTATGCGATGTTTATTATCAGCCGACGAACGATTGAAGTGATGAAAGGTTTTCAAAATCGAAGTCATTAGTTTGCGATGAATTTTTATTCCTTTTGCCTCCTGACTGAAGTAAAAACTCTTGTAACTCTTGCTTCGACGTGTTGTGACTTTATTTCGATTCACGGCCGGATTCGGACGCAGTTGCTGAGCAAACGTACGTTTGTCTTTTGGCTAAAAATTATATATTTTGTGACTCAAAACGACGCAAAAGAAGTTGGAAATAACTTTCCTTGCCGTAAAAACGTGTTACAAGCAATGGTGAGTAATCCTTTCATGTAAAACCTTTCTTTTAGTTTGACAACCGTCCGCAAGCCGTCTAATTTGCATAAATTTCCCAATTCAATTGCTCTCACCGCTTGCTTTGGTGTCAGGATGATATTTGATTTCCAGAGCTAAAACTTTCCAGTAAGTTAGTACAAAAGCCAAGGTTCCATTTTATATTGATTTTATGATCAAGCGGCATATACCAGAGGCCTTTTTTAATAGTCAAAGTTGGCCTTCATTTTCTAGCACGTCTAACGTCACAAATATGACCTCTTTACACTTGTCGATTATAAAAATGTAAAGCATTGTTTATCAAATTTTCTTTTAGGATTTTCAAGAGTAAGAACAAAATAATAATTCGGTGAAGTTTCAATGTCAGGGAATGTTTCTTACGCGTTCACCCTTCTCTCGAAGTTGCCATTGCATCCTGCCGTGTTTTGTGCGAAAAACGAGCATAAAATCGATATTTCAAACTTTTCCTAATTTCTCCTTTAAAATGAATCGTTTGAACCCAAAACTATTTTTCCTTAAATAAGGTCACTAAAAGGGATGTTTTGGCAAAATAAAAAAAAATTCGATTTTTTGGCGAGTGTCGTGCGATTCTCGATTTTCTCAGATAATGGCTCTTAATTAACAAAATCGGACGACCGCGTAGCGGGCCGGGAGTCCGATTTGTTTAATCACGAGTATGATTACAGACCGAATTGGACGACACGAAGTTCTGTTACCAATTAATCATAACTTTAACAAAATTTGTGATATATTAGGTTCATTTTTTTAATCAAAACACCGCCGTAGCCAGTATGAGGCGAACCGAGGCACTCGCCTCGGTAAAATTTTACCAAATACTGTCGATTTTTATTTTTTTTATCAGACATGATAATATTAGAAGATTTCATACGGCTGATTTCGTACAACGGACCGTGTGTTCGCCTCGGTTGTAGTTTCTTCCTGGCTACGGCCCTGCAAAACACAAGAAACTCCGAGATTTTTTTTGCTAGCAGTGAAAAAAAAAGCCACTTAAGCGCGCGCGTGATGGCGCGTACTGTCCAATTACTTAGGCACGACGCGTACTGTCCTATTTAACTGTCCTATTAAGGCTGAAATCAGGGCAGTTGATAGTCAATCAGATTTAAGAATTTTGTTATAGTTATGATTAAGATTGTTATTACTCAAATATTAAGAATCCAATACATTTTGTTATTTTGATGGTTGTTTGTGTTTCATGTTAAAACAAAATTATTCTGTTATCGGTTTATTGTTGAAAATTTCCATTTTTAATATAGTTGAGAAAATGTTATATTTCTTATATTACTTATAATGTTCTATCAAAAATATTTTGAAATACATTTTATATCTGAAGAAAGAGATCAATAGTATAATTATTTATTTGTGATAGAAATATCAGTGGTAATGATGACTGTAGAAAGCAATCCATTACTATTTATGTTTTGTTGTGTGACGAAATATCAAACAGTTGTTTTCAAATAAAAGTACAGACTCCAACTTATAAGAATTTCAATTCTAGGCATTGTGTTATGTTACCTTTTTCCCCCTTTATCCCATACTTTTAATAACCTTAAATGCTATGCAGGTCACTTCCTCCGCAAGAATGTTGTCACCCCACCTCCGGTTATTTCTAAATGGCCCGTCCCTAAAGGGCTCGCACATGTAGGTGAATAGTTTCCCTTATCTGATCTCGGTGGAAAGAGGCAGCTTCGTACTAATATCGCTCTTTAAAAAAGTACTTCATTACAAGGACAATATACGTTCTCGAAAAAAACGCTTTTTGACTGTATAGCGGTACTTACACGTTCGAAAGCGGGGTGGGGTGGGAGGAGGGGGGAAATACGTTTTAGTTTTGTCTATGTCCCCGGGCCTGATACGTGTACGACCATTAATTCAAAACATTTTATTTCTTTTTCTTTTTGTACAAAGTTTTAAAAGGTGGCCGGGGGATGATTTTTTTCGGGACGAGGGTGATTCCAGGGTCCAGAGCAATTTCTTTTAATTTTTTTTGAGGGGCGCGGGGGGGGGGGGGGGGGCCAAAACTCCGGGGCTGGGTCTGGTTTTTGGGATTTCCCCGTTCGGGTTTTTTTTTTTCCCTTTCGCGGTTTTCTCCTTTAGGCGGGGATTTAATCCCTTTTCACCCAAAAAACTCCAACTTTGAATGTATTGTTTTTTAAACCCTACCTTCCCTGGGGGGGGGGGGGGGGGGGGGGATATGCGTTTTTTTTTTTTTTATGTCCCGGGGCCTTTGTTTTTTTCACACATTTATTAAAAATTTTTTTTTTTTTTTTTTTTTTTTAAAAGTTTTTAAAAGGGGGGGGGGGGGTTTTTTTTTTGGGGGGGGGGGGGGTTCCGGGGGCCGAGGAATTTTTTTTTTTTTTTTTTTGGGGGGGGGGGGGGGGGGGGGGGAGTCCAAAGTCCAGGGCTCGGTCTAGCTTTTAGGATATGCCCGTTACGGTCATTTCTATTCCCATTAGCGACGTTATCCATTATGCGGCGAATTCATAGCCTTTAACCCAAACTAATCCAAGCTTGCATGTATTGTTTGTTCAAGCCTCACTATACCGTTAAGATGGATCCTGAAGAAATAAAGAAAATGATCACTGAGTTGCCGCAAAACGAACCCAACAAATCTGAAGGACTGATTCGAAAGCTACATGGCCAAATATCGAAAATGCAAGATGACCGTGTTAAAGATCAATTGTTAAATAAGTTGGAGTCTGTCGCTTATTTGGGGCTGCATGAAGATCTCAAGGAGATGATGGAGCACAAAGGGCTACATCTTGAAGCAATTTATCTTGTTCTGAATTACCTGACGAGTGTTCTAGAGCTGGCCAAATACTTACAAGATGAAAATTCCAGTAAACCAGACGCTGGGTTAAAGATGATAAGTAGACGACTTGGGCCAGATCTTGAAGTGCTTGGCAGACTCAGTGCTATAGGTATTGACGTCACAAAAAGATGGGTAAAAAATCTTTGCAAAAAAGCTCCCTCCTTCAAGGCACTTAGAAGGCTGACTTTTCAAGAGCTGGAAAAATGTTGCCAAGGAGCTGACAAAGGAGAAATGGATGAGGTTCACCGGCTGGTAGAAAATGTCCAATCACAGGAAAGACAAAGTGCCGCTTTAGCACCAAATCAGGACATCATTGTGAAAGACAAAGAATCAAGAACTGCGGACGAAAAAAAACTAAAGAAAGCCAAAGAGTTAATGAATGAGGCCAAAGTCATGGCTAAAAGTCGATCAGAGTCGTCAAAACAAGCCGTCAGTGAAAAACTGAGTGAGATAATCAACAACCTTGAGCTTCCTTCCGATTGGCTAAAGCGTGATGAAGTAAAACCAGAGCAATTGTTTGAGCAGCTGGATAAAATAATAGAACATTACAGCAATGTTGTGGAGTCTGCTGAGTCATACAAAAGTGAGTTGGAAATCGTAACCAGGGCCAGCTGTGGAAGAGCCCTTTGTGGCATTTATTACTCCAAGTACGAACCACCAAAAGTAACAGGAAGACCGTTGCTACTGGAACCAACAAAAGTGATATTAACCAATCCTAATACTGCGCAAGAGATAAACTACATGAAGTTTTCAGCAAAGGGGGCGGCTGCAGAATACGTACGAACAGTAGGCGTACTTGGTTTCCAAGGCTTGGCCGTTGGGGAGGTGCAAGGAGGATATGGCCATGAGAAGAGTAGCCAAGAAGATCAGTCTGTAAAATCATCAGCGACCAGTGCATCAGTGTTACAGTACATTCGCATCGCCAAGAAAACATTCCAGCTCGAATGGGACCAATTAAAGATTTCCTTGGCAGCTAGAAACATGGCCAAGCGTACTGTTCGTGATGAAGAATCTGCTCGTTCCTTTATGGAACGCTTTGGTAGTCATTTTCCCGCCGGTGTCCAGACTCTTGGCGGCGTTTTTTTCTGCATTGTTGATGCCGAAAGTAAAAGCGCCACGAATATAGTGAAGCTGACAGAGGCCGCCGTGAATCATCTGGATGCTCAAATTTCTGTCGGCTTCCTCAGCGGACTGTCTGTGACTGGAGCGAGTGCTACTGGAAAGAAAGATACTAGTACAGGAGAAAGCAACAGAAAATACAAAGACAGCAGCAATGAGAGCTTCACCTTTTCAGTGAAGTCTATTGGACCGCAAGCAGCAAATCCGTCTACTTTTCCAAAGTTACTTTCATACAACTCCACCTGGGCCTTGATTGATCGTGGCAATATCGAAGGGTACATTCCAGTTTGGGAGTTGATTAGAGAGCTTGGAAGTGAGTTCGAGGAAGCAGCTACAGTGCTTGAAAAAACGTGGCGTAAAGACGAGGAAGACAGGAAGAAAAAGTTAGAGGAGAAAAGGGAAAAAAATATTATGGCAGGAGGAAAACAAGATTTGTTGCTAATGAAAGAGGAACATCTTGGAGGGGTGAGTTGAATTTATTAAATAGCCCTCACTTTTCCCTTTGTTGTTGTTGTTGCTGTTGTTGTTGTTTTGTAATATATGGACTGTAAAGGGACTTTTTACATGGGTTGGGTTGCCAGGTTTGCCGAGTCTTACAAACGGAACGAAAATCAACTTTGCGTTTTCTCGACAACCGAGCCAATCTCGTTAGCGGAAATCTCGGGTCCTCGATACCAGGTCTCGTCTCTCGTGTCAAACAAAAGAACCCGACAAACCATCGGAATCTGTTAAGCGTTGCTGATGCAAGAAAATCAGCATAAATAGCAATTTTTTTTTTCCAAAGCGGATAGGTCCTTAGGTGTCAATGTTATATTTGACCGTTAAAATCGATGACGTCACAAGTGGTACAATGTTTGGGGACCCAAGCATGTGGCTAAGGTGTGAATTGTTTAAAATGTTTTAATGTCACAGAGATGCAGCTTAGAAAAGTAACGAAGTCGGAACAATTTATGTTTTCTCATAATACATATTTTTAAGTTAAACTGTTCTATTTCACCTACTAGATAAGCGTCTTTTCCTTTAGTCTATTTCATTCTTTTCTATGATTTCTTTTTAGTATTCAGCCCTTTGTGAAAATAGAAGATAGTTCAATAGTTCATGACGTATGTATTGTAAATATTATTTTTCTTTCGTTTCATTTTCTTGTCCGAACAAATGCCGAGCCAAACGAATATACGTTATTACCTGGATTAAACAAAATTATTTTTCGTACTCTTGTGCTTTCATGTATACCATACAGATACAAATGCACCAAATATTTATTTTTGTGTACAGAATGGTCGTCTTTCAGGAAGTTTTTGGCCAACAAATGGTAATGTCATCTTTGAAGAAGACGGTATGCAACGTGAAGATGCCTATGACAAAGCAATTGAGCTGATCATGCAGGATCCATATTACAACATATGTGAAATAACTTATACTGGTAATGAATTAGACGAAGAAGACCGTAAAAGGTAATTATACTTAAAACCGTGTGCTGCTTTACAATATTAATGTTTGCCAATTTTACCGTGTCTGTACAATTATAGATCAAAGAAGACGTTGATTGAAAACGTTGTAAGAACATAAAACTGGCGAAAGGTAGGCAAGTGTGTTACGGATGTTTTTACCTCATTTTCTGATCTGCAACTAAACAGACACGCGGCAAAGCGGGATCTATTTATTTAGTACACTATCAACGAAAAACGACTTACCTTCAGTTTAGGTATATTTCAAGTCGTCAAAAACACTTTCCTTTTTGAAATCAACAAAACAAGCGTATATTTTTTCGCGATGACCATGTACGTATTTGTCTATATGAGTTCGTAAGGTAAGAACATGATCTGATGTTCGATTTTCGGTCAGAAACCGATTTGACATTTATGAAATACGTTCAGCGAAACGGCATGTCCAAGTAGTCTTTGGTTTAAAATTGAAAAGAATAGCTTTCTCAGTCAACATGAAACACAAATTCCGCGGTAATTCGACCGATCGTTTCTTGCACCAGATTTAAATATTGAAGTTATAAAACAATTGCACCAGATATTTGGTACATTCCCTAAGCTGAGAATAATATTAAAAAGTTTATGGTAAAGAGGCAGCATCATAGCTAAGCTACAATCATGGACAAAAGTCTTGAGACACTTGCATTTCTGGGGCGTTTTCCAATTCACACAGGTCCAACCCCTCCCCTCACCCCACAATCGATGTTGGACGAGTGTATCCAGAATTGTTTCCGAGTTTCAACTTTGTATAGACCGGGGGGAGAGAGAACTGCAAGAAAATTTCGAAAAGGATGCACTATTTTAAGAGGGGACCGAGAAATGACAGAAAAATATGAATAATGCAGTACTGTCCCAAGGACTTTTGTCCAGGATTGAAGCTTTAATCATTCCATTTCTTATCTTGTCTGTTGGTCAGAAGTAAGTGGCTTATTAGAAAGTAGACGACGGCTTCTTTTGTCTTGACTGTGACGTAGCGACCACGAGTCTCGGTTGTGGATGTATATATCTCCAGCAACAAGTAGTAGCTGAAATGTTGCCACTCTGTTGGAGTAATACTGTATTCGTAACTTAGTGCGTTTGATTTTCGATCCACGACCTCAGCTTTGAATAATTAACAAAAGAGCACAGATTACCGCGTACGACATCAGGAATGATTTGTTCGGGCTTTTAACAGCCTGTCAATGTACGTGCTCGTCTTCTTTTTCGTTTCTGGCGCTGGATTTCAAGTCGCCGTTCTCGCTGAAGTGGAGTTTCGATAGTAAATCTTCCACGGCGAGGATTTCCTGCCACCTGTTCAATGGAACGCTCTTCTGTTGGCCGTGCCCTTTTTGTTGCCTGAGAAATTGGTTGCGATTCACCGATATATAGTAAACATTGTTTGACAGACGATGAATAAAGACGTCAGCCTTTCATGAATAAAACATGTCATTCGCACTTGAAGCCGTGTTGCTTGACAACCTTAAAGTGCACCTTGACGTCACACCAGATGACGTCAGTTACGGACATCCCAGAGCAACCTCGTTCCCAGGGTTCACTCTCGAAGCAATAGAGAGAACCCTGGAAACGAGGTTGACCCAAGAGATATATAGGTATATTGCCAACTCGAGTTTCTGGGTTGCTGTGCGATACGCGTGCTGCCCGAGCGACAAAATTATAAACTCGCTTCGCGGAAAAAACAACGAAACCGTCATTATGTCTACGCCACATAGCAAGATTAATTAGTTAAAATTTCGCCACGTATCTACCGCGTACTTTTGTTCTTCATCAGGTGATGGTACTTTAACTGTGAAACTCACAAAACAATGATCACCAGGCTCCAGTTGTTGGAAAAGTGGATTCCGCTATCCACCGTATAAATCACTACCCAGTGGATAATAACGTGATTGGTTTTCCTAATACTTATCCGCTGGATGGTGATTTATCCAATGGATAGCGCTATCCTGCAGTGTTTGAACAAGGGGGACCTTCCGAAAAATTCTGGAATGTTATTGTTTTGCGGGGAAAAAGCTAAACAGGCATGAGAAAACTAAAGTGCAAATGGCAACGTGATTAGTTTGAGATCATTTGCTCTGGTGTCCTGAACCTATTGCCATTGGTTGCAACACAATCAACATTATTCCTGAAATGTTTCAAATGTTCACGGTTTCCTTAGCTTAGTTTGACAGTAACTAGACTCAAGTACAGAGCTTCTGCAACACAAGCGGCCCGATTATGTAACTTTTCAATATCCTCTGCCGACGTATTACTTATCCAATCCCAGGACATACAATAATTAAAATATGGCCCAACTATTACCTGTTAACAGTATTAGTATACATTGCTTGGTCCTCTTGAAAATTCTTGTACTTGGGTGGTCAAAGACAGATATAGCTGGACCAAGGCACTTATTAGTTTCCACTTTTAGTTATGTTATTCCATTAACATAATTATCATGAAATATTCCCTTTTAATGTCGCAATTCTCTAGTGCAATCCCATAAAATCCTTTTTCAGACACGCAGTCGAGTCAGTGATACAGTTATTTCGAGAAAGGTTGTCGGAAAAAAATGTGCACGCGACAATCCCGAAAGGTAATATGAGATATGATCAATACACTGTTCCTGACACTGTAGGCTGTCGAACCTACTTTTGTTACTTTCCTTTAGCTCTCGAAAACATACATCCATAGCCTCTCATGCCATTCTTTCAAATCTCTTTGAAGAACAGTAAACTCAAAACCTCCCACAATACCTAGCCTAGTGATGGGCTCCTGCTTTCGGGATTGTCGAGTGCACTTTTTCCGACAACCTGTCTCGAAGTAACTGTTTTCAGTTGATTTCTTTGCTTATTTCAGTCTGAAAAACGGACAAATTGATAGCAGTAAACGCAAATGAATAGATGTTCCTTCACCATATTAAAAGCATTTCGATAACTTTATAGCGTGTTCAGGGCACCTCATATAATGAACGAGTTTAACACATATCTTTATTAAACAGGTTAACTCCCGCTGCTGTTTTGCGGGTTGCTTTGTTGCCTTTCAGCCCTCGTGCATTGCTTGTTGCCTCCGGGGCTGTTCCCGCTTATGCTGTCGGGTCTGCTGTCTTGGGGCGTTACCGGTTTGTTGCCACTTCCAAATACAAATTGAAGTGTTGGGAAGCTTCAGATGACACGCCCACCACCTTTTGTAAAGGACCGGGACAGCTGTTCTTCAGTAAAGTGCTTTTCAAATGGAAGGATCGTGTTCCTGGACAAAAATAAATAAGAGTGCACAATTCAAGATGAGAACTTTCTTGTGGAAGCAATTTGAAAAATCTAAAGATATATTATAACACGGACAGTAAATAGTTAAGATCGGGAAGCGAAACCTCTACTTCATTACGTTTTTAAAGCTGGAAAAACGTTCGGGGAGTTTTGTTTTTAAAAGGCTAGGAGGTAAATATTGCAATAATAGACTTTTTTTAGTTTTTTAGTATTAAAGCAAATTGAATAAGTCCTGCAGTTAGAATAAATGCAGTAAGTGATTTATTTTACCTCCCAAAGTGTCAAACATTCAGCGTGAAGATCAACTGTTTTTGTTTCAGGAACTGATTTGTTGTATGCGTTGATAAAACCGTCCTGCTCCAAACTATAAATATGTCGGAAACTTAACTATATCTTAATTATTTCATGACAACTTCAAGTGTTTCGATACGGGAAACGGATATTATTTCGGTGGTTGTAAGTAGAAGAATGAATTCGTTATTTTAGAATTTATTATTGCTTAATGGAGGGTTAATGGATCTTTTTCAGTTCATAGTCCTCGAATTCCTAAATCGCTGAGCTTAACTCTTCCCGGCTGTTTGATAAATGAACAGAAAAGTACAAAATAACTTCTTTAGGGGGCATTACCATACTAGCAGAGGTTTCTCTCTTGCATGGCTTTTAGCGTTTACGAAGTCGTTCGCGTGGCTTGCTGTCACGTAGTTGGTTTGTTTACCATCGCCCAGAATTCTATTGTCTTTCGCGACATGTACTTATAGGGTCCAGTTTGTCAATGCACGGTCGGAGAAACAATTAGATGAAGTAAGCGTTCGGAATGCTGACGAGTCTTGACAAAGGCTCGGCGGCGGCTGTTATTCAAACTGGTTGATGCGTGAAGCTTGAATCTTAAGGTGTTATATAAAGTTGAGCAATAGCACTCTAAAAAGGCGGGTGGCATTGTCATTCGTGTGTAACTATATGCTTTCTTTCTTTTTTACATGTTACACAGAGGTAAGTAAATGACATTTCCCTTTAATGTCCTAAACCGGTGAACAAATTAAATGCAGGTACCGCATCTTAACGTTTGAGGGATAACTGTTTATGAATTAATTATTCAAATTTGGATCCGCTTTAATTGGTCATAACATACAGCAAGGTCAAGGCTTAATTCATCTATTCAGTTGTAAAATCTACTTACAGACGACATATTGCAGCCTTTGAGTCAGAGGCTGGGCTTTTCGTTATTGAATGATGTTTGCGATAATGGCCTAAGTTTCAGTTACCGATCCAAGAAATAACGCTTTGTTATATGGGTGCCATTGCCCCCGCAGGGATCTCGCACAGAAGGCGAAATCCCGAGGAGGCATCCTAGTAGCTCGCACATATATAGAGAGAAAATATAAAGTCAGTATGCCAGACAAAATCTCGATTTGTTTGATCAGGGGCTGCATGGAATCGTTAGGTAATGATGACGTCTCTGCTGTTCACGCCCGCAAGTAAGAGATGGTTAGGATGACGTAAAACAGAAAACCCCGAAGGGACCGCTTAGTTAGATTTTGTCATACTTACTGTGTATTCATACTTCGATACTCCTTCGTTACGTGTTATCAGTGACATTCTGTGGAGCACTATTGTTTTAAAAGTTATGGACCAAAAGACACTCATGAAGCGCGTATGAAGTTATAGGGTGCATGTAATACTGTGTATATATAGACACTTGGAGAGTTTACCAGACACAAGTTTATCATTCACAAATCCAGGATTGTGTTAGGAAGAATTTGACTACGTTTGTTGATTTATAATAGGTGTCGGATTAAGCGTAAGGAAACTTCAACTTAACTTCTAGTAACTGAATGAGCAATTGTGGGTAATATTTTAATTCAGTTCGGATGATGGGAGTTTCCTTGAGACACTTGATTTTAGCTATCGCTTCTTAATTCTTTTGTTGTAACTGTATATTTGTGTAAATAGTGCGGTTGATCGTTTTATAGCTGCCAAAAGGGCTCGTGCCATTTTAATTTATTGTCTTTTGTTTCATTTGCTTTGTGTTCGCTAAGTAATAATCATAGAAAACCCCAACAAAACAAAACAAAACAAAACTAATTACTCGGTCTCTTTTCAATTATACACGTTTAACGTCAATGTTGACTTTGAAATAATACTTAGTTTCTGAATAATGGTTATTTATAACTTTAGTCTATTTTTCGTGATTTTACCACCGGACGACTTCTATTCATAGTAACGCCTTTCGCACAGGTGCTTCTCGTTTCAATTGCAATTTATAAAGGAAATAAAGGGAGATGTAAAGAATCGACCATAAGAGGACACAGAAAAAATCTGAGCCCCAGATGGGATTCGAACCGCACGGAGGGTCGTGGGTTCGAATCCCATCTGGGGCTCAGATTTTTTCTGTGTCCTCTTATGGTCGATTCTTTACATCTCCCTTTATTTCCTTTATAATACTAATATCAGTGACATAGGTTAATTGCAATTTAGTTATATTATATGCAAATATATATTTCATTAAGTTGTTATACAGGGTGTTTCAAAAGTTCGTTCCGATTTTTTCTTCGCTTAAATTTCACTGATTACTAAAAATACCTTTTGTAAAACTAAGTGTGTTATTAAACATTGAAAAACTGAAATATTAATAACCAGAACGGCTTTCTTTATGTTTTCTGACATTTTCTAAGCGGTGAAGTATAGAATGTACGAGCTCCTAAAGCGTGTCATTTGTAAAGTCACATTTTTCCAGGCGAAGCCTAGTCACTGTCTTAACTCGTCCAGTGTTTTGGGGGCTGGATCTTTTTATGTTGTATCGTCAACGATAATCCAAATGGTCTCTAGGGGGTTCTCATCACATGAGTTTGCCGGCCGGTCGTCCTTTCGGTATAAAGTTTGCAAATCCTTCTGACACCATGTTTGCATGAAGTGTACACCGCCTTTTTCTCTTCAAGGCTTTCCAACCTTTGTTGGTCATATATCTCCATACCGTTGGGCTCAAAACTTTGAAACTCCTTGGTTTGTCTTCTAAAGTCTTAACTTTCGATTACTTGTTTGCTCATCGTTCAGAATTCTTCAACAGTTTAGCAGTTTCTTTGACTGAATGGCCAGAAGACTGTAAAAAACGATGCCTGAGCTTTAGCACAAACAGCGTAGGCCTTCATTTTTGTGAAATTATTGAGAAAATAAAAGAAAACAATAAAAAATACGAAAATGGAAAGCCTTCAAAATGGGCAGAAAAATACGGCGGGAAAAACTACGCGAAAGTGCACATTTGGGGCAAAAATTAAAAAATATTATACTTTCTTCAAATTTTAGTTTCAAATTGCGTTGAACCGTTATTTAGATAAATTTCCTAACTGAATCAGTTTACATTTGCCTAAAGAAGCATTAAATGCTTTACGCAAAATACAATTTACAATCGGAACTAACTTTTGAAACACTCTGTAGTTAGATAAAGGCAACAGGTGAATTTTGAATATGAAAGGTTGCTTCTTCCTATTTAAACAGCCAACAGCTGAACTTGCAACTTTATTCATATTGTACTACTTTGTACATGAACGCTGTTTTGCTGACCTTGCTAGGTCTTTGTCTCAGTACTTTTACTTTCTAAAATAGAAACAGTAACAAAAGATTCAAAGTGTAAAAATAGAAGTTGTATTTAGTTTTCATTTAACTCTAAGCGATTTCTGTTAATATTTCTATTGTATTCTTTCCTCTTATGGTTATAGAAATGTTATATGAGTAGCTAGTTTTTACTGTTTTTCGATTATTTCGCCGTGTCCTGACTGAGCTATTAGGGACTTTAAGATCCAACGACGCGACGGCAATCAGAACGTCGCTTAAAAAGTGAATTTGCGTTCTTTCAGTCTATATCGCAATTATTCCTACCTACTTACTTTGCTAAATGTAGACGAACCCTTTTGGAGTTGAATTCCTAGGCACCATATCCAAGTACAGTAAGAGAAATAAAATTTCGTCGTTGCTTGTTTACGTCCTGCGTAAAACGCGAAATTAGGCATGTTCACGTCATAGTCGTGCAAAAACGGACAGAGAAATGTACAAAAAAGCATGGTGAACGTGCAAAGTTGTTGTTTTGCTAATCAAACCTATTGTTTTTTTGAAGTTCTTGGTAACGTCCGCGTCGTTGGATCTTAAAGTCCCTATTGATCTGCTTAAGAATAAACGCTGTTTAAACCAAAGTTTAGTTCTGTTTTATCTATTGTTGTACCAGTTAGTGGTTTGAACCCGGTCCTTCAGGGAAATGACGGCTCTTCCCCGCAAGCGAGTTGCCATTTGAGTCTAGTTTTACCCAGTTTTATCGTGAGTCAAGCACCGAGTTTCCGTTCAGCCTTAAATTCGTTTCGGAGTGGAAAAACCTTCCTTCACAATTTTAAACAGACACTCTTTCTCTCTCTTTGGGGCAATAAGACTCAGCCCACAAACAAGCAAGACTAGTGAATCAACGGTTAGCTTATCACTAGCAGAAAATGGATGATTACAGAAATTCGCCGATATTCCCTGCTCACAAATTTCCTTCTATAATCATTTTTTAAAGGAATTGTCTAAATAGCTAAATCTGAAATGACTAGAACAAGAGAGGGTGATTTGATCAAACCTTTTAATTGCCGGCGACAAGAGGAGCCCGCAATCCTAATCTCCAGGTTATTAATACGCATGCGTCGGATGTATGTAGCCAACATTCATATGGACTTCCACTAAAAATGAATAAAATGCACAGAACGCAATTCGATCACGCGCGTTTGGAATTTCTATCGTTCGTAATCTGATCACGCGTGTTTTGACTATATGTCACGTGAAACTTACGCAAAGCACAACGATGGAGCGAAAGCTTTTTCACCTCCGATCGTTGTCACCCGCACTCCGTAAGGGACGAACCATTAGAAAAGTTATGGGGGGGAGGGGAATTTTCGAGCCTCAGGAATATTTTTTCTTTACCAAATTCCTTGCATGAATTTTTTTAGGCCATAGCATGAATATCTTTTAGGATTAATTAGCTTGCACGAATTTTTTTTCATTTAATTTTCACTTGTGCGAATATTTTTTTTGTACTTCGCCCGCACCCGCCCACCCCGATAAGTTTTCTAATGGT